AGTAGCTTGTTTTGAATACTTGCAAGCTCTGGTATCTTAACACAGGTGCCGGTGCAGTGATGGCTTCTGCTCTCGTTATCTGCGTGAGAAGCGTACTCCAAGATTCTTCAAACACCTTGATTTCTCCATTTCTAAGGCTTCGTCACAGTGATATATATACACGCTTCCTCCCTACTATAAGATAACAACCAGATATCTGATGAGTCTGTACAGGCGCCGGGAGGGCTGGCTCCAACACGACCCTGACAAATTGGAACTTGAGTTATCGATTGGCTCCAACACATAACAGGGGGTGTCATTCGAGAAGCCGATTCGCTCCCTCCATATGCAATGGAACATCCACCCATTGCGTCGGAGTACCGGGGGGGAGCCCCTTCGATATATTATCTTCGTATCTCTACCAGGCAAAGATCAAACCATGCCACCAGCTCGTCTTTGCCTTTTGGGCATCGATTCGGAGGTTGTACATCCGTTCAATGCTCGGATCCTTACGCAGAGGGGTGAATACCTCCCGAATCACAGCCTTTAACAAGACGCTCGTGCACGCGCGTTACCCATTTAGATGTCCGCGGAGTAGAAGCTGGGGAACGCATGACGCAGGCCTCTTGGGTCGCCAGCATGGGGTAACTATCGCTGACTATGTTTTTCATATCCTCTCCGTGAAGGAGCCGTGAACCGGCAGATGTAAGGAAATATCGGGTGCAGTATTATATAAATATATCTTCTCAAAATCATTATTCATCCGAATTCAAATAACAGCAGCTGTCGCAACTTTGCTACTTCCTCTCAGTCATCTTTTGTTGTCATTATGCTATACGCGAAGGTAGTTAGCTCCAGGAGGAAGTAATCCATATTGAATTACGTATTGCCTTTCGCAAGGGAGGCCCTTGTGGCCCTTTATGCCTCTACCTCCTAGCCTGCTCAACTGTGTCAACCGTTGCCACTCCTACATGGTCTTGACTCTCCACCAAGCTAGACGGAGTGACCGTCCGCTTGTTAGCTTCAAGTATCTCATCGATGGTCACGCCAGCGGCCTTGGCTTCCTTCAGCAGGTCACGATGCAACAGTCTCCAGACTATGTGGCTTCCAAAGATCCCTATTTCCAAAGCCAACCTAGAAAGCCCTGTATGTTAACATATTCCTTTCGCGCGACAGGTTTAGCCAGGGGATACCCACACAACACAGTACATAACACCTCCGAGGACATCAAAGGAACTTTCAACAACTATATGTATCCATTTATGTGAGCCAATCTTAACCCAAATCCTTAATGTTTGTCCCTTTATACGCTCACCTAGAGCTAGGAGCGAGAATAGCGCTCCAAATGTATCCATGGTAAGGAAGACCCAATCTGAAAATAGGTCAGCCATGATCTACACTATTCATTTGGCCGGATGCTGCGAAACTTACTGATTCCTACAACCCTCCCTCTTCTTTTCCAAATTTCTTGGTATGGAGACATCAACCCTAGCACAAGAAGTATTGTGGCGAGAATACCAAACAAGAGCGCCGGCCAAGTAATGCCTTTTCTGTATGGGATCTGTTGGAAGGAAAGGGAGGTCAGAGGCATGATAATGTGATCTAAGACGCGAGACATATTCACCCTTAACGTAAGAATAAAAAGGACCTCCGAGCCACCCAGCAACACTGCGAGAGCAAGGGTAATTACAGTTGCCTTAACCCTCGTATAATTGCTACAAATATAAATATGTTACTTTTGTATGTACGAGTACGAGCCCTCGTGTACGCAGTTGACTTACTGGTGATAAACAAGAATCTGCGCCCAACATATTAAGCACAATGTCCCAAAGATCTGCGGTTGAATTTGAATAGGTATATTGACACCCTGTAGCCGTTAAGTCAGGCCTAGATCGGAAAATATGATCGAAGGACTGCATTTCTAAACTCACTTGTAGAATCATATAGATACCGAATGGAGGAGCACCTGAAATCCCCGATCCATTAGCGGTTTGCTTCTCACTTTCCTTCTTTTTTTTTTTTTTTTTTTTTTTTTTTCGATTTAGATAATATAACGTCTAATGCTGCTGCATACAGGGGCACTGGAGGCTAGGGAGCATACATAGGGCCCATAGGAGCATCATGGACGCTGGCAGGCCATCCGTGTTTTTCCTCCTCCAGTTGTACCATATTTGAGGTACGAGCTGGATGCACCATAGCACGGTTCCGATGGTGCCCAGAACATTTGCAGCAACGGGTATCTCTTTTCCTTCCGCCATCTATTTACACGATCAATGGCACTCAGATGCAAAGTATCCGTCACGGGACAACTAAATAGAAATATCTTGCTGGGCTCCGGTTGTCCAGCTTTGCTTTTTGGTTATGATATCGATCAGAGTGAAATTCCCTTTATTTCCCTTTGAAATGAAAATGTCGATGTAGCAATGGCCGGTTGATGACCTCTGTCACTTGGATTCCCGCTATCCTCAACTGAAAAGAGAATAGAAAGCCGCAGGTTGATAATTGAACTTGAGAAAGATATCCATTTAACAAAGGCTCAAACACGCCTTTCTCAGACCACTGAAAAGGAACGATCAAATCAATATAGTGAGCTCGTCTTAAGCCAAAAAGAAACTGCTGGGATATACGAAATCAATTTCAAGGGAAACCCAAGGACAAACGGGCATGCAAGCGAGGAGAAGAATTATACTCAATCCACCTCATTGTCTGCTTTTTAAGCAACCGCGGTCTGTGACAGAAATATGGCACCACATACCGGTGTGGAGGACATCCCCACTGGCGGAGATGGGGCCCTTTAATTTTTTGATGGAGCTCTTATTTCATCTCCTTTCCTTTTTTTTTTGTGCTTCTCTCTTTTTGCAAGTGTCGCTGCCGGAGTGGAAGCCAAGCTTTGTACCAGAGTCCGGCCGTCAACCAGCGAAGAGAGCTAAGACGGAGATAAGCTCGCGCTCGGCTGCGATTGGCCCAGGGTGAGTTAAATGAACTTAACTCGAGTGGGGAAGAGCACCCGCAAAGGTCAGAAGAAAGAGGATAAAGTAGGCGGCAAAAAGGGGGACAATATGGGAGCAAAATTTCAAGGGTGTTTTTTGGTTCGAGTGGACGGGATTGACATATCCCGGAATAGATTTCGGGAGCAAAACACTGATCTGGACAAAAGAAAAAAAAAAAAAAAAAAAGGAAAAGAAAAAGAAAAAGCAGAAAATGAAAGTAAGAAACAGTAAAATGAAGGCTCCTAGCACCAACCATCAAGTCGAGAAGCAACACATTGGATAAGCTGGTCCTGCATTCTCACTTTAAGAATGCCTGGGAAGCCTTTTTGGTACAAATGTCGCACATTACGACATATATACAGGGTACTCCGTACATAGAGACTTAATCTATCAGCTTATATCCACGGTCACAAAATCAGAAAAGACATGGAATGTGAAAAAGACTTTATCCTCCGCAGGGTGAAATTCTGCAATCATGCCACCTATTGGACAATTCTCAGCCTGGTACGGAGTAGAAGACTGAAAATTGGATATGGGTAATTCAGACAATGTAGTTAAAAACTGCTGTGCTCACAACACATTTAAAAATTTACTGGCATTAAGCAGTATGTTTGGTAATGTCGATCATGTTGTTGTGCGGTGTCCCTGCATGGACAACCAGCCCCCTGTTGCTTTTTCTGCATCATGCCTAAGAGTCAAGTATCAACAAGCTCTCATTCATGCGTGCGTGAAGGTTCTTGAACGAAATGGTGTTTGAATTCATGTGTCACTGACAAGGAATGATGGTGCTTGTATCTCCTGACTGATGAGTTCCTGTCATCCCATTGCCCCGTCAGTTGATCACTCATGTCCTTGCCCTATTGTATCATTTATACTCGTATTAATTATATCAATATTTGTCACATCATGCGTTACTGTCAGTGCTTGCTTGCCCCCTTTCCGTCCAGGCACGCCAAATGCTCTGCAAATACTCAAAATGCTTGCATGATGTGATATATCCGCTAAGAAAGAATGCCGGACAACAAGCAAAGGCAGATTGGATGCATGCAACTTTCAAACACAACTGGTTACTGCTGAAAACATAGCCCTTTGATCCCTTGCTTTTGCACAACCATCACATATCTTTCTGCTCACATTCATGTTGCTGCAGAATTCCCATGAGTGCAAGATTATGCTGTAGATAGAATGTCTGCAAATAGACATAAACTGCGCATAGTCCCATTCCCTTCCAACCTACCTATCTTTCTCTTGGTGAAAACATATGTATATATGTACAAATTCTCGGCGGGCGGCCTAAATACCACCTGTCACACAGAAAAAAAGAAAAGAAAAAGAAAAAGAAAAAGAGAAAAGATATTGCACACTCGAATGGATAAAACAGATGGAAAGGAGTGCATGTCCATTTATGCATGTGAAGAATGCCCACCAAAAAAAAGAAAACTGATAGGAACCAAAAATCTTCAGAAAATACATAATGCACACATGCGTTCCTTTCTCATCTGCGGGAAAAGAAGGGTAGATAGGATATCGACAAATTTGATGAGACCATCTAGAACATTGGCTACAGGGACACATGAGTTTAGCGCCAGTCAAATCTCAGCAGCACTTTGCCGATCGTAAGGTGTACGAATACAAGTTCGAGAATTTTCTCCGGGGGATCCGGGTCAAATATGAATCACACATTAATAAAGAAAACATGAAAACAGGTGGGCAGCTGAGTACGGGAGTTCCCAATAACAGGAGGGCCAAATCGGAGAATTGAAAAACATAAGAATGAACCAAACAGTTATAACTAAGAGCCCATCAGACATGACATATTTATCACAAGCCCCCAATTGCGCCAGAAAAATTGATGATACGAAACAAAAAAAAAAAAAAAAAAAAGGCAGAAAAAGAGCATAAAAAAGGGAACGAGGCAACGGGTATCAAGTGTAGAGAACACCTCTTTCAGCAATTAGGGAGGATGTGTGCACGGTATTAATTGCTCACACATCGAGTTCGGTGGTGTTGCCTGCTTTTTCCTTTCTTCGCTTATAGCAAGATCAGGTAGTTCGACGGGGCAATGCCTGTCTCTCCCGTCGATTTCTTCGCTTGCCACCACCGCCCGCTCACATCAGATACCTCAAGGATCTCGTGTTTTGTAAAACTGATTTCGTTTGCATCGTCTGGGTTCGCTTCATACGAGTAGATCGCCTTTGCACGGTAAGGGTATTCGGTAGGCGGGCTGACTTCGTTGGAAGCATCTCCGGTTGCGCTACCGTTGGCTGCCAAGTTCACCTGGGAATTGCCCAGACCGGATGCTCCGGACTGACCTGTTTGTCCGCCCCCGTAACCTGGTATGGGCGACGACGTTTCGAATCCGTTTAATTGAGCAGAGGTATACATCTGCGGCGGTTGGCTAGAAAGGGTGGTGTCGGGGCGATTGTTGTAGTGGTTGGACATCTGGCTCGGATTGAGATATGATGGCTGCTCTTTATGCATGGCGAACGAATCAATGTAGGTACGAGGACGTGGCTGAGCTGTAGAGCCAAAATAGAAGATCCAAATGATCTAGAAAGGAAGACTGTTAGGATGATTCTCTTACATAGGCGCTAGAATTTGAAAAAAAAAAAAAATAAAAAAAAATCCGTACATTGATGATGGATAGCAGGATAAACCCAGCTCCTGCAGCTTCCTTTGATCCGGACTTATCTTTTAGCATGACGTCGACCGCGAACGTGGTGAAAGCAAAGGCTGATGAGACATATCCGACAATCTGGAGATGACCACACGCGTTAGTGAAATGCGTCCAGGCACATAGATATGGAATGGTAAAGCAGCTATACCGCAGTGCTATAGATATGGCTCGTGCCCGTTGCCATCACATATGAGATACCGAGGATGCAGAGCAGTTGATAAGCAATGGTCCACCAGTATATATTTGGGAAAAAGCCGCGGACGTCGGAGATGATAGCGGAGATGAACGTAATTAGCCATGCAAGCTGATGAGAGGGGAAAAAAAGGGGGGGGTTAGCATTTGTGCATTTCTCAGGGCGCGAAGCACGCATCAACGACGATGGGTGGATGCTCATACCAATGATATCGAGATGGATGCCAATGCAAAAGGGTCGCCAACTAAGTTATCTATGTTGATGCGTGCCATTGTGCTTTGACGCCGATCGTGGAACGGAGGCGGCTTGTGAAGGGATGGCGAGGAGTGGGTTGGTGGTCGAGTAACCATCAAAGCAATCGCAGCGAGATGGTCGTGGCTCCAGTTTTATTCAAGACAAAAATAAAGAATTCAAAACTCGACGCGATTCCTCCCCCACCACCAAAAGATATTGAATCCAAATGGGACGGGTGGGAATTTTGTGTGTTTGCGTCCAGGAGTCTTCCCTGGCGACGAGCTCGAGTCTTGGGGTAATTTTCTGTATGATGATTGCACGGGACTTGCAGGTGGTGTGCCGTCACGATGTTATCAATGAACTGAAATCACGGATTGACGCCTCGAGAAGGTTAACAGGTCGCGACATGGAAAGGGTGGCAGATGCGCTGAGAAGCGAAACTCTCGACCGTCCGACGGAGCTTGCCTGTCAGTTTTGAAGAGACAAAGCCGTTGACAGGTGGTGACGTGGGCCTCAACGGGGGAACGGGAAATTTGATCGAAAAATTCGCGGGTGTTCGAAGCAGCGCCAGGCTGAAGAAGGGAGGAAGAGAAGGAAAGCAAGAGAAAATAGGAAGAGAGAAAGAATGGCAACACAGGGGAGACAGCTCGAGAGAAGCTGAGGGCAGAAGCGTCTGGTGGGGAGAAAAGAAAGCGAACGATGAAACGAGTGACAGAGCGATGGGAAGGGATGGATTGATTATGGATGGATGGATGGAAGGGTGGTGGGTGGGTGGATGATGTGTGGTTGTGGTGTGCGGTGGAGAGAGGGAGGCTTGGGGGGTTGAAAGCGTAGGGGTAGAGGATGGCTGAGCCTGGCCAATTGGCGCGACCGGCGGTGCGGCGTTGGTGGTTGGTGGGCAGCAGGCCCGAAATTAAAAATAACTCTTTACAAGTTAGTGAACTTTAGGCCTGCTGCCTGCCCCGAAGACACTGCTGGGAGAAGCCCGTCCAGCTGCAATCGAAGTCTAAGCTGCACGAAAAACCGGAAATTAGTTGGCCAGCTACGGAGCACCTTCAAATCGACACCATCATCGTCGACTGTTTTCCTGGAAGACGAAGGCAAAAAAAAACAGAGAGCGAGAGGGAGACGAAAAAGCGATGTCTCAAAAAAGACCCTTCCCTCGGGTGCACCACTGCAAAAGGACGCTATCTGCAACCCCCTCGTCTGTACTCCGTACGATGCGCCCCTTTCATAACCATCCCTACTTTCGACCAGCTGCAGAGGGCTAGAGCGCCCGCCCGGCTCATGACTTTTGGAAGCATGAACGACGATCAACTTGGGCCATATTAATCGCGGCGAACCTGCAACTGGGCCTTCCCCAGATCATGCAGAGAGAGACTTCAGCGTCCACCAACCCTCGTTGCACAGGCGAGCAGGATTACCTGAACGGCGACAGGAGACTGATTGTGTGCGCTAACCGCTAGCTTTCACTTCCACTCATCCTAAATACCAGCAGCGGTCTGTCTTCGACATTTACGGAATATGGAGTACTGGTGAGTTGAACATGAGGCCAAATTTTCGCGGCCGCTACCTCAAGCAGCCACCGCGACCGTCTTAAACTGGAATTCATCCGTCGGAGGATCTCTCTAGGATCAACATCCTGATTTTGGTCGTCACGCTGTCGGATTGGCTGCTTTTTATTCTTTTTATTTTATTTTATTTTTTCATTTAAAACTCGAAAAACGGAGTTATACGGAGAACATGGTATATATCTGGACGTGCTTGAACCTGCTGAGAGAAGTTGATTGCAAGCGAGTCTCGGACAATGTATGTTGTACACGCAATGTCTCCATAAACTGGGTAGGCGGTCAGCTCCACATGCCGAACGCAATTCTGGCTTGCAGGCTTCGTCCTTTTATTTTATTTTATTTTTTATTTTTTTTGGTCGATCATCACGTTTGCAGCCGCCTCGTTTGCGGGTCTCCTCCATACGGAGGACGCCATAGGGCTGTTTCTCCTCTAATCGTGTGGACTTTCGACGGAATAATAAATGCTTCATCATCAAGCAATAAGGTCGGACCACTGGACTGGAAGCATTTACGGAGTACATGTAAACATATACGCCCAGGACATACGTACAGCACAATGAATTGAAGTCCGCTAACACCCGCAAGCAGGCGGGATCTGAAACATACATGCAGCCGATTTCCTTTCCTCCCTGCCAACCCCTGTTCAAAAGGGCACGTAACGGTTCTCACTTGAGGAATGGATGGACTTCGAAACTACAGGTTCTTGCGAGCAAGCATTTTCTCGATCTCAGAATGAATCGTAAGGGGTTTTCTTCAATAGTTCGAAGCACAGGAGCTATAGTGTTCTTGAATTCAATGGTGCCTGCTTCTGATGCATTCATGGTTTGCAAACGAACAATAACAAGTTAATTCTGTAGTTATTGGAATCCGACTTTCTAGGCGCCCAATTTGAAACCTAGAACTCGAGAACAAAAATCCGATTTTCTAAACCTGAGCTGTCGAGAGAATATGTTGTATTGGGCGGTACCCCATACCCGTTCCAGCTACTTGTTCTCGGATATTTTTTTGCACCTATTGGCTCATCTCATGCCGATACCTTTTCCTTGAGCTACACCACCTTTCCCTCCATGGAAGCTTTGTAAGATGCTTTAGGGCATCGTCTGCACTCGGGGGACATCAAGAAAACAAATACCTCTAGTTCATCTTCGGGAAAGCCTTTGGTCTGAACAGGTGAGATGTTTGATCCGTATGATAGATGGTAGGTTTTGAAAGATGCCCCCTTAGGTTCATAGAGACATAAGAGCTGCAGACCTATGATCCTGCTTAGGGAACTTGTTCCTGGCAAATCTTCAGAGCATCACCAATGAAGAGGCCCGGTCCAATTTGTGAAACAGACTGACATCGAATGTCCATGCTCCCTGCAGTATTTGACAGATTTTGACGCATAGGATATGTGTAGTCAATGCTGCAAGGAAAAAGTAAACATGTAAGAACGCCTCAGAAAGACTAGAAACGAAGAGGGTCAATGGCTTTATCCCCTCTTGCATGAAGATCCATGTCAGCTTCCAAGGAAGCATAAAATTCTAGCACCACTACTAGGATGCCTGCATTGAAGACGATGCCAGATGGTGGCTGCAGGAAACAGCATTCTAAACCTAGGAAAATTATATGTACAATAGCTCTCAGGCGAAATCGATGGAAAAGGAATATAAAATTGCGCAGATATTCACAGTAAGGTTGAGGGGTAGCCTTCATGCCGTGGGAGTCCAAGGTAATAAATTGACATCCGGGTCTGATCGCCTTGCTTAGTACCACCTTTGTGTGGACAGAGAATTGACATATCATCGTCCGAAAAGATAATTATCTGAGAGCTGTTGTGAGTCTCGAACTGCTATGCCGCTGGGGAAACTGGCCAACCCTGGAATAGAAGGATGCTCAATCCAACACCGGAGAGACCCGAACCTGTCATTCAGCAAAATCGTTCGAGGTAACTTAGTTACATAGTGCAGTAAGTGTCTGTACACTTCACCCACCCGGAATGCCAGACCGACAACAACGATCCTGGACCTTCGTTGGCAAGGGGCCGGTGGTCGTGAGGATGCACCGCTCCTTTTTGCCTTGTGTGGAGAAAGGGGCGGGTTTCAAGTTGAGTAACTCATGGTTCTGATTGGGGGTTGCAGACTGTGGGCGCGGAACCGTGATTTTCGAATGCTTGGGCTTCACAGACCAGAGGCTCAGGATTGCCAGAATGCTTCGGCGCGATCTACGCGGGTGCGAGTAAGCGCGGCATGACACTTTCGTCCTTGGGTTCCATCTGCACGAGTCTTTCCCTACTGCCAGGAACAGGATTGAATCTTTATCACGGATGTTAATCCGTACTCAGTACTTTTCAAACACGCCGCATTACTGGCAGCACTCCTCCCATCTAGTGTTCTCCGTACAAAAGTAGCAGTAAGCAACAATAGACTACGTCAGCATTTCTTAAAGGTAGCTTCGTCCCGCGGTGCGTTCTCTCGATACTTTCATGCGATCCGTGGATCTTGACACTTTTGCCAAAGATTCACGGTTCGACAAAAGTTCAGGAACGCCAATGATTAAACCTTACCGGGGTCATACTAAAATCGATACCCCCGTCGTTCTCGTCAAAGACGTTGGGTAAATTGAAGAAGCTTTCCCAACGAAGGGGTGCCTGAGACTCTTGCTCGACGGCTCGAGTTACGAACTCTTTGTTCGTTTCACCATCCTCTCCTTCCAGCTCCGTAATAGGCAACCTAGTAATGCCTTTAAAGCTTAGCAAATGCACTCTCGGATTAGCAAAACGTAGTTCGCCCACATACCTGCCTCCCAAAGCATGATATCGCAATTCATCGACAATTGGCGCAAAAGTCGAAGCCGGCATAGCATATCTACACCTCTTTCCATCGTTCACTCATCCCTCACCATTTTGGCCTCTAGCCTCCTGACTTCCCTCTCCGCCATGCGAACCTTCTCCTCCCATTCCCCCCAAACCTCACCGCCACCTACAATTCCCACCTCCAACCATCTCTTCATCAACAGTGCACTTCTCGCCCTTAACTCCGCCACCTCATTCGCCTGCTTTTCCTGCTCTTTGAGTAACCGATCAATTCGGGGTTGTAGTTCAATCAGGCCCGTCGATGCGCTTGCAGGCGGAATGGGTAGGTCCTGCAGTGAGCTTAGTCGAGAAGCCGTCTCGGGGAAGGCGGTAGCGTAAGACAGAACGATCGAGGCGAGAGATTGAGTGGAGAGAGTGCTGGGGACGGTGGCGGGATTGGAGCTCTGGAAAAGGTCGGGGTAGCGAGAATCTGGAAATGTTCACAAAGAGGATAGATGTCAGTATTCAACGCAGCTATATCAGATATCACGGAGCGGCGCGAATCGGAGATGCAAGTAAGAAAAGAAGACCGGTATCAGTATTGCAAGCAGGCTAAATTGTGTCTCGGGATATCAAATGCCAACGTAGGTGGTAGGAATGAATCCGTACACAGTTTCAGCACATCCTGCACAGCAGGAACTTTCGAGCTCAAGACTTTCAGTCCATGTTCCAATTCAGCCAAGCGAGCAGCAACCGACTCCCGCGCAGACGCAGGAGGTGCAGGAAGCCGTTCCGGTTTACCAGTCCAGGTTGCACGGCCCGTAAGCAGGAATTCGATTCTACAAAGCCGCGTCTCCAGAAGGTCAACTGTCTCTGCAGCCGTAGACGCGATGGTATCTGGAATATCAGTCTCCATTATGTTGAGAGATCGGTATTATATTGGGGTTGTTTGGGTCCTGAATACTGCGTTGTTACTCCATACGGACGAACTCCAGAAAGACGCGGCCACAGCCTTGCCAAGAAAGTTTTTTTCAGTCCACAGCTCGCCAGCTTCAAAAATGTTTAACATTATGCGTCTCAAGAGTCGTCTCTATATGGAGTCTGAGAAGGCTAATAAACAAATACAATCAAATATCAAACCATTTCTTTTATTGCACTCATTAATAGCACCAGCTTTTGCCAGAAATTGAAATAGAGCATTTGTGTCCAAATTAACTGACGAACGTGCTGAGGCCTACTGGCCTAGACGATATCATATCATTACCTATTATTATGAATACTCTTTATCATAGACGCTAGCTATCTCCTTAGCCCGTGAACTCGCAGTCTAATACAGGTATACTGTAGTTAACTTTGCAAGTCCTCCACTCATCATAAACATACTCATGCTGCAGGAGGAACACCGTGTCCAGGATCAGAACTCGCTCTCTCTGCATCCTTCTCTGTGACCACACAAGGTTCCTCGTTGACCATCGCCGGGACGGAGGCCTTCCGAGTATTAGCCGGACGAAGGCGGTTGGACAGAGATTCCACCACTTCTTCCGGATCTGTCAGTGCAATGTCCTCATTGGAGCGTAATTCAAGTTCGGTCTCGCGAGAGTGGTCTGGTTTGGGGCTGTTTAAGCTGTTTTCTTGTGCGATATCCTCGATGAATTCCTCTTCTGCGTCTTCTTCCTCACCTTCCTCGTCTTCATCCTCTATCCCTTCTAGTCTCTTTTTCAATTGAAGAATTTCACTCTCGAAGCTCTCATTATCAGCGTTCAGGAACGACTAAGACACTCGTGTTAGTCCTGCATATATGACAGAATGGAGCTAGCTTTACCTGCAAGGGTTCAGGAAGTCCAGACCCCTTAAAATGTACTGCGTCGTCGCTGGCGTAAACAAGAAGAACAGAAGAATTCTCTTCCTTTGCAGCACGAAGAACTTCAATTTCACGAGCTGGCGTTATCGTATAGCCGGTAGCCTCCGTATTGTTGGGCAATGGAACCCTCGGTTGAGTGGGATCCAGAATATATTCAGTTCCGTCTATTCTCGTAGTGGTAACAGGCACTCTCATGCGCCTAGAGATAGCTTCCTTTGCATCATCAACGGAGTAACTGATACGCCACCACTGCCATTCACTCTCAAACGTCATATCTGGGAATGTGTCTCTCAAAGCCTCCGCTCCAGGGACTCTCTTTAAGACATACATGACATGCTCATGAGTGCAGACACCACGCAAGGTATATTTGTAGTATGGTGGTCCGTCTCCGTCCTTGAACGTTAAGTGTCGAGAAAATTGCTTCAGGTTTTCCTTCACTTGCTGCTTTTTCTCATGTAATGCTGGCGGGCCTCGTTAGCGATAAAGAAAACACAATTTCCGGTAAAATATCAAGCAATGATGGTCCTTACCTGCAAGCTTTCGATCAACTTTTTCTGCAATAATCTTTAGGTCGCGCACCAGTTTCTCGCATTCTTCTGGAGTAATAGTCGTCGTGTGGGAAATGTAGTCGTTTCTGGAAGAAGATGTTTCCAAATAAGCACCTTTTAGGGCCACATCGGTGCCGGTGATTGCATTTTCTAGAAGGGTTTTGAAGGATATTTTCTGGCCATGTGGAGCGTCAACGGTCGAATAAGTATCAATCAGTGTTTCTATGTTTTCCAATTGGATTTCAGCTTCCAGCCGACGAGTTCGCAGCTGTCGAGTGAAATCTTTATTTAACTCCATATACCGATCCGGATACCACGTCGCAGGGATTTTCACTCCAACGGGTCTCCCCCGTTCGTCTTGAACAGCTAGACGCATGACGAAAACAGGAGCGATATTTTCCAGCCAAGCCTCTTGAGACCTGGATTCTGGAGTATCGGGCCAGAGAGATGTATCGATAACATCGTATAGGGTTTCAACATGGTCAGGATCGAACGTGATGTCTGCGAGAGCAAATGGTACCCGGATGGGTGGTGAGTTGGGAAAACTAGCTTTTCTGACAAGGACTGACTCAAAAACATTGCTTCTGCTCTCTAAAGAAAATGCCGCATGTTGCCACCTTTCCAGTAACTCAGGTAAGAACCTGAGGCGATCATCCCGTTGGACCGACAGGATGCTCGCAACTGCTTCTGCGCTTCCGAAAGCACGATCTGTTCCATCGAGGAACGCCATCAATCTTTGCATTTCCAGAAATAATTCGTCAGGGCTCTCATCTTGTTCATCAGGGTCGATCAATGACGCCTCTGCAGGGAGATCTATTCGTGCCCCATCCCACCATTGAGGATGATAGCCGTAATCTGACATAAGTGTATCCCTTGAGATAAACGCTTCCCTCGAGAGTGGAATGGCATGGAGTATGGTAATGCATGCTGCCAGGTAATTGGCGTGGTTTAAAGGACGAAGGAAAGGGGGCTGGTCGTTGTCTCTTTTACGCTCCTCCGGATCTGGGTTGATGCATTCTTCTTTAGACTTGGGATTTACATACGGAGTGACGGCCCACGATGTACTATCGTAGTGATCGCGGTTGGCAGGGCCGAAATGAGTACCCCTAACGCTTATAACACCAGTTTCCTGACCAGCGGGATCAAAATTGCGATTTAGAGAGGCTGCGACCGCCTTTTGCACGTCGTGTTCTTCACGCTCCTCAAGAGTCATTTTTCGGGTATTTTCCGCTAGAATTTCCAATCAGAAAGGTTTGCAAGTTTGGATCTTGTCCGAAAATTCTCACGGTAATGCGCTGCACCGTCACCTTCACCTGCCCTGGCTCTCTCAAAGACCGGGTCGCGACCTACTCGTGATGGAGGGCGTGACGGAGGGGCCGTATAGCTGGTGTCGCCGCGTTCGATTTCAAACGATTCTAGAAACACAGCGCCTGTCAGAAGCGCCTTGCGGAAACGATGTACGGGATATGGCGGGGTGGCAGCGGTCTCACTTTGGACATTATGTACTTGATATCCGTAATCTTTTGGCTGTGGCTCCGAGCTCGCCGGCCAATCGCCCTAACAGAATAACGCCGTCGATTAAGTTCTTCCTAGGAAGGCTCGGAAGCTTGAGCAGCTGCTCACCTCAGCTTGGGAGCCACAAACGCTCTCGTAGAAGGCATTGGCGGCGCGGTTCGCGTCAAGATTGTGTGCCTACCATGGTGAAGAGAAGAGTCAGTTCTGTCATACATTCCATAGATGATGGGAGAAATCAAGCCAGCACCCAAAGTTCGGTCGTCCTGCTGTGCCTGAAACGTGTTCTGCAAAGAAACGGATACATATCGATGTTGTCATTCAGCTATTTACCTGCAGTAGACTGATCGCCTGATCTCTCGTGGCATTTGTGATGGTGACGAATTCGCTAATCGCATCTTCGGAAGGGACTGAAGTCATAGCTAGGGTATTCGCTGAGAGCGTAAACCGTTTCGGCGGAGGAGGCGGAATGCGACTGTCGGTCTTCCCTCAAGCTTTCGATTCAGCGTGAACGTCGTCATAGGCCTTGGCGATGTCGTGGGGAATGACTGGCACCAGAACTTAACTAGTTTGCGATCAGGTCCAACGCCCATGGGTTCGTGTACCTGGTTTGAGGAGCTTTGAAGGTAGTGATGAGGTCCGGATGTAAGGACTCAAGTAACGACGATGCGGCAGTGAGATTGGTTTCTGGTTTGATTAGTTACTTAACCTTTCCGTTTAAAAGGGCAGGCGACAAGCATTAATCATGATTTCATGAAGAAGCAACATCTACGGAGTACACCAGCCCACCATGTGTTCCGAAACACATATTTTTTTTTTTTTTTTTTTTTTTTAAACAGCTTCAGCAGTTTCTCAAGGTCCAGGTATCAAGGCAACGGGCATGGTAAAGACAATGCGGGCAGAAACAAACAGTTTGGACGGACATTGCTACATCTGTAATTTTTGAATCCTGCACGGCCTCTTCACGGCACCTCTGTTCTGTGCAATCAAAGCCGGCACAAATTCCAGTGGCTACATACTCGATACAACAGCTAAATCATTCCAAAGAAGTTTAAAGATCGTAAATCCACCCAGGATCCAGAGTATACAGCTGCAAATTTTTCGATTCTTTCCGCAAGGTATGTCCACTGTGATCGTCAACACACTCTGGTCGGCTATTCGGCTACGTATAACTAGTTATAGAATACTCTGACCCGAAAAATTGCCCGACGGCCAGCCATCCAAGGTGAACTGGTCGGCATAGTTCACATCGTCGAGCGGATGGACGCAGCGCCAACGAACATTATTTTCCCGCCAGACCTGCCGTGGCGTCGGGCCGCCAAGCCGCAACAACCTTCCCTTTCGGTGCGGCTTCTCCACGCCCCGGCGCTCCTTTTTCCTTCCCCCAACGCCGAACCGCGCGCTTCCCCGCATCGTCGGCGTCCCGCACCGACACCGGCCTCAGCATTATCCTCGGATTAACCACAGGGATCCGTCGTGGGGCAAGGGAGAAAGATGTCCTTTTTGTGCTCTGCCTAAGGATCAAAGTCCCTCTTCCTGGACGCTGATCCTCTGACGAGACTCAGTTTTCGCTGCAGAATCCAGACGCTCGTCACTCCAGTCATCAACACGCTTCAATGGCTCGGTCTCAGCTCTGGAGGCTGCCACGATTGGGCAAGGTGCAAATTCTTCCCGTGAGATCAAAGCTTCAGTCGAGGGGTTTGCTTACATATAGCTACGCGCGTGGCCCGTCCGAGGTCAGTAACTACTATATTCCGCACACCTTGTCTAGCCGCTGCTCCCCAATGCCACACCCGCCTTGCTCGTCGTTGACCTAAAGCTAACTTTGCTCCCGGCTGCAATTTTGCATGCGCGCTTAGCCCGTATAGCCAGCATTATTCGAACAAACCGTTGGGGATCATTTTGCAGGCATTGTGAGCCAGCATGGAGACAGAACAGCGTCAGCCCTTCCGTCGTGCACCTCCCTTCCAGCGCTCCACACACTGATCCGCTGCATCCAGGGTGGTCTCGAAGCACCAGAACCAAAGACTCACATACAACGAGCTGGATTTGAAGAGCAATTCACTAGCCCGTGGCTTGGCGTCAATTGGCGTTAAAAAGGGAGACCGGGTGGCTGTTTCGCTGGGGAACGGCATCGAATACGCAATTGTACGGCCAATGTGGCTCTCCCGATGCCTGTTCCTGGCTCCGCGAACGGTCGGCTAATCGTTGTTGTGAATAGGCCACATACGCGCTTTTCAAGCTAGGAGCGGTCTTGGTGAGTAGATTCCAGGCGAAGAGTCCAAAGTACATCAACATGGACTAACGGAAGATCGCTCTCCAGGTCCCGTTAAATCCTAATTTCAATATCAGCCAGGTCGCTGCGGCTCTTAGCCATTTAGCAGCTACCCATTTGATCATTAGCACCGAAGCGAATCTGCCACGACGAGAACCCCGATCAAATCTTCCGTTGCTTACACAGCTTGTCCCAAATCTTAGCAGCGGCAAACTCGAATCGGCGTTGGTCCCTTCCCTCAAGCATGTTATTCTCGTTCAAAATGACAATGGCCGCATCGATACATCGTCTTTCGCATGCACCACCTCCTTCCCTTCAATAATGTCCGAACTCACATCGGATATGCGACCTTTGCCAGCCCAGGGCCTCGAACCACACGACGTCGTGAATATACAGTTTACATCGGGGACAACATCTATGCCAAAGGCGGCTTGTTTAACACACCGGTCTATCTTGAACAATGGTGCTCAGATTGGTGACCGGATGATGCTCACACCTAAAGATGTGGTCTGCTGTCCACCACCCCTTTTCCACTGTTTCGGATGCATTCTAGGATATATGGCTACCGCCACGCATGGATCAGCCATCGTGTTCCCTGCTGAATCATTCAACGCCGTCGCTACACTCAAAGCGGTCCAAGAGGAAAAGTGCACGGCACTTTATGGTGTCCCCACAATGTTTGTCGAGGAGCTGGAACTCCTAGCAAACGGGACTATTCCATACGAGGGCTTCCAGTATCTACGAACGGGGATTGCCGCTGGCAGCAGCATCCCCGCGGAGTTGATGAAGAAGCTCCACAAGACTTTAAACTTGACGGAGCTAACCATATGTTATGGTATGACAGAGACTAGCCCTGTCTCTTGCATGACCACCACAGACGACCCAATCGATAAGCGCATCAACACCGTTGGCCGCTTGATGCCTCATGTGGAAGCGAAGGTTGTCGACCCCGTAGACCATAGTAGAATTCTCCCGGTGGGCTCCAAGGGAGAACTCGCTGTCAGTGGTTATCTGGTCATGAAGGAATATTGGAACGCTCCAGAGCAAACCGCCGCAGCCATGAGAGCCGATGATGAAGGGAAGATCTGGATGCACGTTAGTACCCCTTTTAATTTCTACTTCTACTTTGACCTCTTCAGAAGGATGTTAAAAATCCCCCTCCCTGCTTTCTCTAGACCGGAGACGAGGCATCAATGTCGCCTGATGGGTACGTCACCATCACAGGTCGTATTAAGGACCTAATCATTCGTGGCGGTGAGAATATACATCCACTGGAGATCGAGAACTGTCTTTTCGCCCACCCTGGGGTTTTGAACGTATCGGTGGTGGGGGTTCCCGATCAAAGATATGGCGAAGTGGTCGCTGCGTTTGTCGTCGCACGAGAAAATGGAGAAAAGAGAGTCACTCCCGATGATATCAAGTCATGGGTGAGATCAAAATTAAGCAATCATCTCGGTAAGCTCCTATCTCGTTTTCCTTAATTTCTTTGCGAAGTTTGACCGGCGGTTTCCGCCGCCATTTGCACGCATGGTTCGTGTTCGGGTTGAGCTTTCTCGGATAATCAAACTCATGGCGACATATGATTGGGACTCTGTCGCAGTCAATGAGATATTCGACCACTTTTCTCGACGTCGGGATCGTCAGCCGCTTTCTCATGTTGATATCGCGATGCATGAGCCAAGCACCCAGTACTTGCGATGGCGGAAGTGCTTGGGATGCTTGTTTTTGCTTACTTTCATGATTCTGCCCATTTTTTCTTTTTTCAACTGCACTCAAACCAGACCGCAAAATCGATACGAAGCCGTCTTCGTGTTGATCTTTCGACCTGCTTACTCACTCAAATTTGGGAGTCCCCGAGTTCGTAACCGTTTTCTGAAAAGCTACCTATCTCGTGTCATTCCCCGTACCGTCATCTTTGCTTTTCCCTTTTGAGAATACCCTCCTCTGGCAACTTCGGTTTCCCCCTTGCTTTGGTACGAAGGATTTCTCCAGGACTTCGGTCGGAGTTCATATGATTCCCCCACAGTCGTGGAACGGACTTGAGTCCCACTGCTCTTTGATCCGATCCTTGCCGACCAAACTACGCCAATGGCACAGGGAAACAGGCGACCACAAGGTTCCGCACGGGCCCTAAAACGGATTGCAAAGATCTCAACCCCTCAGCAGGCGGAAAGCCCCTCACACTTCTCCATGTCCTGGTGAATCAGCCTCGCTACTTTCACTTTTTAGCTTGACACACGTGTGATCGGGATATTATCCAACTGGCTACATCTATCCTGTTACAGCATATCTTGAGTTAAACTTACCAATGGGTCACGTTCACCTTGTCTATTGCCGTGATCCGATGTCACTTCTCGCTGTTTTCTCGCCTCTTTTTGCTTTGATTTGTTTCAGGTTTCGCATTGATCATCACTTCGAGGTTTGTCGCTGACTATCTTACCATAGTACCCAAATTCGTCTTTTACATAAATGAGACGGAGTTTCCAAAGACAGCAAGCGGCAAGATCCAGAAATTTGCCCTGCGCGAGAGAGCGATTAAGCTCTTAAGAGAAGGTAACGAATTGAATGCCAATAGTGCGAGCAATGGCGGCAGCACATAGACAAGGTAACTCGGCACCTCCGGTACTTTTTCGCGGCCATGGCGGCAGAGCGCCGACGCGGACCTCATCACAAGATAGCGTCGTTGGAGGTGGAGAGCGGCAGACATAACACGACTGGTCCACTTCATCGTGAAGTGTACATGCATGCAGCGTGTGTATGTACGGTACATACGGATGTACTCCGTACTTAGCTTTATACCTTTTGATCTGCGGGTTAGATACCTACACTTCAATGTTTGGAATACGCGAGCCTGTCAATTTTTAGATATCAGTGTAACGACGATAGTGCTTGAATTTATGCTCTCTTCTTTACCTAGCAATATTTACCTTATACGGAGTACGTAAAACTCCCAAGACAGACAAGCAGGGTTCTAGATATGAGCATAAATCCTCGTGGGGATATCCGTATCCGAGACGCGTCTCAATCCTTGCCATTGACATGGACGGAAATGCTCTCTTGCCTTATGCTGCGTGGGATTGTTGCATGAGGGAGGTCTTGAGCGATTCCACCCCCCTAAAAGGGAACCTATGCATCTCATTCGTCTATGCTTCCGTTATCTTGAGGCCTTTTGTTTTTTCCAGTGGCAACGGAGCTCGTGATGAGTTATCCTTGACATGGCGAGCTGATATGCACGGTTGGAAACTCCGCAACATACGTGTTACATATTTCTGGTGGACAATCTCAGCCCTACAAGTAGAGTATACATAATTGTTTTCTTTTTTTACCCTCCTCCCACGCTCTCGTTACTGGCCGAGTGAAACTTTCGTGTCTTTTGGCGATGAGACGTTGGGGGCGGCGCATCTTGGTGGCGAGGGGTAACATTAGGGGGTGTGTGTATGTACTCCGTACAAGGTACTCTGCTATGCCTCGAAACTGGTTGGGCAAAGCGCCGAGAGAGTCAAAACGCGAAAGAGGCCAGGTTATGAATCCCAAGAGTTGCCATCATCATCTGGACGCAAAGAAATCCCGCCGATAAGTTTCTCGATCCCTAACTTGTACTCAATTTACCCAAGGTACCCAAACGGTTTCCAATCATTTGTCTTGTTTCTTCTATCCTGCAGGATTCATACCTTCTCAGGACGTTCGTCAACACGTGTATGAAAGGGCATAAACACTTAAAACAAGATGTCTGTAGCACCGGCATGGTTCCTTTCAAAAAGTGCGGTCGCATCGTCCAAAATCGATAGTCAAATCACCGCAAACGGAAGTTCGCTGGTTAATGGCCAGGGTTTGCTATCGAAATCGCCTCAGTAGCTCACAGTTCAGTACAGTTTTCATGACAACCTATCGGCCGGTTTATAAGCTCAATCCGGGAGACCTGAGTAAATTCTCTGGTTTCAAAGGTCTTGCTCAAGCGAGCAGGGTACCAAACCCGGCAAGGAAAAAAAGGTAAGGAAGCAAACGGACCGAAGAGCAATGTTCTGCAGAATAGAGCAAAAGACATTTCCATGGAACATTGCTCGACAAAATTTTTGCAACTTTTCTCATATGTTCCCCGGGTTCCTGAAATGCCCAAAGTTGGAATAGTGATTGAGAAAGTGGGCAAAAAGCCCAAACGCCCGTGAATAATTCGAGCGGCAATTCTTCATGGTGGATACTCCGAACATGCCACGTAGTTACTGGGCGCAAGAAGCCAAAAAAAAAAAAAAAAAAAAAAAAAAAAGAGACGAAATTGCTACCTGACTTTCTTTGACCCATTCGTCTCATCTTTCTTACTCCTTTGTGATTTAACTGGAATCAACAGTAAACACCTCGTGGCCCCAATGCATATGGATGCGCGTATGGATCGCGCACATCTCACGGCTGCAGAGCACCTGCATTGTCTTGAAATTCCGCTTGGCGGAGCGTCCCAAGCGTTTCCAAGCACAGCGGAGTTGTCAGACAGCTTGTCCTGATGGTTCCTTCTTCGGACCTTGGGCCATGAGCGGAGAGAAAAAGTCAACGGCCTACGGCGTACTGCCTAAGAGATGCCTATGTAGCAGTATCCTGTACGGAGTACGAGATCTAGAGGATATACGGAGGACTGAAGACGAAAGCTGCTATTTCTCAAGAGCGACGGCACGTTTCGGGGCTGACAAGTTACATAATCCGGTGTCGGTGGTTGATGTAACCCCGGCGACCGAAGAAATGAAGGCCTGTTGCGCCATCCGCGGAAATGCAAGAAAATAATCGTTCCTTTCGAGCGATGTCTGAGCAACTGGTTGGCTGCAGGCTCTGTTTAGGTAAGTGTTTCCGGAATTACCGTGTTGGGGATAAATCAGCCTTTGTGTGAGAAACTCGGCGACTCCCCATGACGGCGTTTCGCCGGCGTGAAGTTAGTCAATTAAACCGTAGAACATTGGCTGGAAGGTCGACTCCCTTTCAAGTAATGATTTTAAGCTGTAGCGATGATTTGTCGCCGTTTTGAGCAGAGCCCTTCAATTTCCCCTGATTTTTTCGTGGGGAAAAAATGACTTCCCAACCGTCCCAAAATTTTTAGCTTTAACTTTCACCGCTTCCAAAATCCGAAACAAGCAATAACTGGACCTCATCTCGACATCGCCAGGAGGAGAAACAAATAGGATGAGGAAACCCAACAAACCGCGGCTGCAGCATTGCCCAGCTGAACACCACCACAAGCAGCCCTTTCTGTCATCTGACCCTCACGATGATTGTCTTCAGACTGGTCTGGACTCAGTGCCGCTGGGGAAGGGCCCTGGAATAGTTATATGTCCAAGAGGCCTTTGCTGGCAGTCAAAAAGGGCCTCGTCCTCCCTTCTGCTTACTTTGCGAATCCCACACAAGCAGGAGGGCACGTGGGTGGCCCCAGCGCCTCTTCGTTTCCCCGGATTCAAGAGGAGGACCGGCCACTGTTGATGTTCGTCCAATTATGCAAGCAAGCCGCGCTTGCAAGGCTTGGCTTCGATTCTGACGTACAGGTGCATGAAGCAGACGAGTTTAGAATGGGTCTGTGCTTTAAGTGCGCGGGTCCTTTTTCTTTTTGGGGAGGGGGGGAGAGGAAGATGAGGGGGGTTGGGTTCGAATTCAAGGACTCTCGATGACGACGTCGTCTGAGGTCACATTCAAGAGCCAGAAGGTTGTTTCACCTCTCCATTGTTCTTGCGATTGTATTGGAATTCGGATTCCCGTTGTCTTCGTCGCAGAGCGATACCAGATCAACGCAAAAATCTCGGAATAGCCGCTGTTACATAATCCAGCAGGCTGCCGCTAGCCGCAAATGGTAAGACTCTAGAAACGGTAATCGAAGCGATTTTGTTGCCGAGGTGTTGCGTGTGATTGGCTGGCGAGTCGTGTAACGGTATGTAATGTAAGGTAACGCAACCCCCCAACTGAAGATAGGCACGTGGATCACGTGAGGCCAATAGTTCGATCGCAAGCCAAGCCTGCTGCGGTGCCGTGCGATTCGAAAAAAATGACGCAACTTTTTCTGCCCGGTCAGCCTCGCAGCCGCCAGTAACAATGCCGTATCGGTGGACCTGGATGCTGTAATCCACCCGTATCCTGTAATCAACCTCTCTGTGTGGGATTTCAAACCAAAGTGAGGCGCCAGAGCCAGGGGATCTGCTGGCCCGGAGAGTTGGGAGAAACGGATGAAAATCGTTACTTCCGAATGGAACAGGTTCTTACTTTTACCCTCTGCAGAGGACACGGAAGCTCTCTCTACCTGGGTCGATGGGAAAGCAGATACAATCCGTGATGCTCCGAAGGCATGCGCCGCAGGATATACCATTCCTGTTGTTCCCCATGAGATTGAGAGAGAGTATGCTTTAGTCGATAACCAGCGTGCAAAGGGCCCGCGTCTGGATGCCTGGGATCACAACGGTCTTGCCTAGGTACCCAAAGCCGGCGCTGCTCGGATCAAGTGTTAACTACCCGTAGC